CTCCCTGCCCCTCCTGCCAGGGACTTGTGCAGAGCCACAAGGTCCCCCCTGAGCCTCCTTTTCTCCATGGTTTTTATTACCTTTATTTTATTTATTTAATTCTGTTATTTCCATTCTACTCTTCTCTCTTCCTGGCAGCACCCATGCTCTCCCCTGAGCAATGTGGAGAGCAAGGTAAATGTCCCACCTGCTATCCAGCAATGTCTCAGATACATTTTGCATCTCAGCAAAACCCTTTTGAAGCATCAGCATCTCCCTCTCTGCTGCTTGAGCCCAAAGGCTTCAGGGACAGTGGGCTGGAAACACCACTCTGCTCTCCTGCCTCCATTTCCCATCAGAATGGGATGTGGGTTCCTGTTTGCTTGGGTTTGTCTGGTTCTGTTTTCACCTCTCCTTTGTTAACATTCATAATTAACACTTTTAACCTGTGGTTTGTTAACAGTCATAATTCACACTTCAGGGCTGTTAAGCAAGAAAGAGTTTCATAACTCCCACTCAATGTTCTTGTGACTGCCAGAGAAAAAAAAAAAAAAAAAAAGGAACAGCTTTGACCAAAGCAGCAGCAGGAATTGATTGTTCCTGGAAAATTCTGAGGGGCTCAGTGGCCAGGCATGGCCAGGGCAGGGTCCTGGAGCTGGCCCAGCTCCCTGAGCTGAGCTCAATATCTGAGCTCGTATCTCATGGTCCCAGCTCAGGTTTTCAAGTTCAATCCAGTTCTGGACATTTAAAAAATGAGTTTAATTCTCCTGTCTGGAAAAAGTCTTTCCTTTTCTCTCACAGCAGTCATGCAGGTAAAATAAAATCCTGCACTGTGCAGGACAGTGAACAGTCCTCTGTCCCTAAATCAGAAGGCACTAAAATCCTTTATTTGCACAAGATTCTGCACTAGAGGAAGTTATTTTCTGTCCTCTACAGAGACTCTCTGCTCCAAACACATCCCTTGGAGTGAGAGATCCTGTCTCCTGCTGCCCACAGCACAGGCATTTCCATCTCTGGACCCTGAATGGAGACAAACAAAACCAATTCACCTGACTGGCTTCACCTGGCAAAGCCTCTCAGGAGTGCCTGCCTTGCTCTAGTGGTTTTAAAGAGAGGTTTGAAAAGTAGCTCAGGTGTGAAGTGTTCCAGGCACACCCTGGGGACACAAAAGTCACCAAGAGAGTCGTGAAAGCTGCAAGGCACAGGCTGCTCTGGGCAGGTTCAGGTAACCCAAAGCAGAGCAAGCAGCAGCTGCTCTGTGTGTTCAGGGCTCCCTGGGAAACACAGGAGGAGAGAAAAGGAACAGCTGAGGCAGGGAGAGCAGGCCCTGAAGGTGTCACCAGCCTCTCAAAGAGCTGGAAAACTAAAAGATGAGCAGAGTGAAGATACTGTGAACATTCTGGGCAAGCAGAGCCTGGATCTGCCTGTGGAACATCTCACCCATGGACTCAGGCAAATCCTGACACATGGCCTGGGACTAGCCAGGGTTTGTTACCCAAAACTGCAAAATGCTGCCCAGTTTGGTGGTTTTGCAAGGATCCAGAGCAGTTCCTCTGGCAGGGGAAGGAATCATCAGTGGCTGGGTGCTTACCTCTGCCCAGCCATCTCCTAGCCTGCACCTCCTGTGTGCAGAGGCCCAAAGCCTTCACAGCCTTTTAAAAAATACTTTCTAAGAAATCAAAGACTATGAAATGTGTTTGCTCTTGGCTTCCTTCAGCCTCTGCACAAGTGCACTGCCTTCCCCTCTCATCCTTT